TGCACTGGAGTTTCATGTCTGAATCTGTTAATAGGCGATGGGTGGACATCCGAATGCTTCCACTTCTAGCTCTTCTATACTCCGTCGCCTTAGTTGACCGATTGAATATTAGTGTCGCTAGGACAGCCGGCATGGGCGAAGCATTGGTAAATACCCGCTGTTCTTGCGGGACGATTCTAATCTTTGTACTATAGGGACTTGATGTTGGATCTCGATACAGTATCGCGACGTGCATGTACTTTATTCCTTACGTGCTATTGTACGTTATAGTCTCTTATTTTTGCTGCACGCCCATAGCTAACTATTTTGATAGTCAAGTACCTGGGAATATCCTTCTTCGCAAGATTGGAGCGCGCGTCTTCCTCTCTTTTATTGTGACCGCATGGGGCGCGGTATGCTTATCAATCGGATTCGTCAAGACCTGGGAAGTTCTTACCGTTTTGCGCGTATTGTTGGGCGCTATGGAGGTGAAGATCACTCCGTCATTTCTATCTTTTGATCGGGCCTGACTCCGCGTAGGCCGGGCTCTTTCCTGCTCTCGTGTATATCATCTCAACTTGGTAAGACTCCCCTCATTACGTTCTGCATTATCCGGACCTAATTCTATCTCTTCTGGACCGTAGGTACACGCGTCACGAAGTCGCAAAGAGGTCTGTACCGTCTACACATCAAATGACAGTTACTTGACATGTTCTACAACTGCCAGGCTTGCTGCCTTCTACATGATCTCACTAACAATTGCCGGGTTTGCTCCTATTCTTGCCTACTGCATCAGTTTACTTGATGGAAAACGGGGTATAGCCGGTTGGTCATGGATCTTTGTGAGCATTCGTTGATTTCTCCTGTGATTTACCTCCGTTATTCATGCGGCGGCCACGCACTATCTTACAGATCATCGAGGGCGCACTTACAATATTCCTGGGCATCATCACGTTCCTTTATGTCCCTGATTTCCCGGACAAGAACCGGTTCTTGACCCCAGAGCAGACCGCAGTGGTTCTAAGGAGGATCGAAATCGACCGTGGAGATTCGGTGCCGGATGTCTTGACACCAGCTAAGATTTGGTTCCACCTGAAGGATTGGTCGATTTGGACTTACGGTATGCACAAACGGGACTCTTGGCGTTGGGTCCTGGCTGATTGGAGGTGCTAGGCATCATGCTGGCGTGTTCGACTGTGCCGTCGTACATGCTAGCTTACTTTATTTCCATTATCCTGGGTGGTATGGGCTACGGGAGAAGTATGTCCCTCCTTCTGGTAAGTCCTGCTTATTCAATAATCAAGTTCTCGATTGACTTGGGGGTTTCTAGAGCGCGCCCCCCTATGGTCCAGCGGTATGCTGACTTCCATCCCGGTCACCTGGGTTGTAACTTAAAAATATTCTCGCTAGTTCATCTCTGCGCTCTTCTTTGCATGGATATCGGACCGATACAAGCACCGGAGCTCCTACATCATCATCCAAGCATGCATTTGCATTGTCGGATGTTGCTTAACAGCGTTCTGTCAACCACATGCCTTGCGATACTTTGGTAGCCGCTCTCCCTTGTTCTCAACTTCCATTACTCAAGTCAAGTCACTAGGGACTTTCCTCATCAACATCGGAAGTGCGGGTGCCATACCATGTATCCTAGCGTATGGTGCCAATAATGTCGTGTCGCAGAGTAAACGGTACGTACTGATGAACCTTCTTCTCGACTTCCCTCCCCTCGATGCCCAAGCCGCTTATCATCATCCTCATTATCAGGTCGGTGCAAACTGCGTTGACTTCGGGCTGCGCAGGTATCGGCGGAATCATCGCCTCAACCGTATTTCGGGAGAAGGATTTTCCAAAATATGTCCCTGGTGGGTGTTCATTTTCCCTCACTCCAACGCTCTGATACTTATACACGAAAACTCCTAGGTCTGTGGGTGACAATCGGGACTCAAATTGTGCTCATTGGAACTGTACTGGCGACTGTGATACATTTCTCGAGGCTGAACAGGCTGATGAGAGAAGGCAAACTGAAAGAGCCGATCCAGGGTCAGCCAGGGTTCTACCATACATTGTGAGGGTGCGGGCGCACAGTGCACCCGTACGCGCAAACCAAGTAAACTAAAACATAAGCGACTCGAAACCACCGTTACTCAATTGACGTACCTATGTAATTATCAACTTTGTACCTGAAGCTATAGATTAACATTTAATGAACTTGATGTATTTTTTTCTGACTGGCAGCTGAAATGAGATAAGGGAAGGACTCGACTAGCTCTGTGCCTTCGTGCGCACGGTTGTCGCGGGTCTTTAGATGACCGGGACTTATCTAATATTAGAACCTCCTTGTTTTGGGGCTGTACGCATGCCGGTGGAGATGCTGTTACATATTGCAGTTGGCTATACTCGGAAGCGGAATAGTCAATATGAGCCACTTTTCGAAAATGAAGGGCATCGGCCTGCACAACTTCTAATCGATAGTGATAGAAATGGCAGAGAAGCCGAGGGAGCAAGCGAGATTTACCAAAATCGCAGTTCATCACTTGCTGCATGCATGGGAAGATCCATAGATATGAAATCGGAAGAGTCTCGATAGGCTGCATCGCACACACGCCGTTCCCAGGTAAGTATGTAAACATATAAAGCGACAGAAAGTGGAGATGTACATGATAATAATGCTGACTTCGTCATCGGGGCCGTGACCTGTTTACTCAGCTAAAAGGGATTCACGAGCTCTTCTACATGAATTCAAGGGATTAATTATGCACCATCCGTCGAGGCGTCAAATTCAAAAGCGGTGCACTAGCTTCGATCTAGTTACATGTTCTTGGCAATCAACCTCGGTCACTAAAAAGTCTTTGAAGACGCCTTCTGCCATCCTTTTTCTTATGAAATGTTGCGGTTACATCTCACTCCTGATAAGCAGTTATTTTGGGCGAACCAAACCGGTGAAAATAGGCAGATAACATATGAATCTCGACCCACGCGTTTACCACAGCGAAATGAGTCGGGATTCCCTTTACCAACGGATTTTGCTGTGGTCAAATGACCGTGTCAGGGCTTTTGTGTCTATTCCTCTGGAGTTATGACCAGCGCGACTGAGTCACCTGCCAGGAGTGTCCTCGACATCTCTGTATGCTCACATCAGTCAAATTTTGACAAAAAAGCGTCCGTCACGCACATGATCCATACTTGAACCGCTGCTCGAACGTAGGCGGATTTACCATACTTGCACCTCCGGGGTCAGCAGAGTGCTGAATCAGTTCTCTGTCATGAATGCACGAGGAACTCCGACGTTTGAAACGCCTTTGGATGAGAGGGAAGGATAATTGGTTGCACCGAGAAAGATTTTAGATCCAAAGAGACTATTCCAGAGGAAGGGTTAACCCTGGATCGGCTTTTGCAGCAATATGAAGTTCGATATTCCGAAGCCTCTTCGAACACTCAGGTTAGCGACCAAACTGATGTCGTTTCAACACAATGTCATTTTTCGAGTGGAATATTGTCTAGATGCGCTGCCCTCGATCAGAAGAAGGCTCCAAATTTGAGTTATAAGAGGCAGATGCTCCAGCACACGGTTTCTGTGATTCGACCTGTGTGTGAGAAAAGGATCGCGGGATAGCGAATGTGATTTTATTGGAGCCTACCTGTGGTCATTCGCGGGCGGCATTCGCGCTGTCGCCCGATATCATTGCAGATAGCCCAGTTTTAGGCGCCAGTGGCGTTGTATTGAAAGTAGCATTCAACAGCACATAATTGAATGAGATCATATCCGAGAATTCATCATACTGGAATAGTACGGTATGGCCATCCTGTTAAGATCCACCGTCGCTAAAACAAAAGTGCCTTGGGAGAAAATTTTGTTATGATACAGGGCGTACATTTGTACTTCTTTCTGCCTGTTCAGCAAATGATCGGGCTATCGCGCCAGTGGATTTCGTTGTTATATCTGGTGTGTGCATAGATATCGGGGCTTGTTAGACCAAGGAACGCGATGCAAGCAAATTTTGGAATCAAGAAGGGCCATTTCACGGAGGCTCGACAAACAAGGATGACGGTATTGGAGCTCGATCGTTGTTCTCTTTTCCTACTGGTAGCCCATGATGCATGTGATGGAAGATAGATGATATGAACAAGCCTAGGTCCTGCGGGAGTCTGGAGAAAGTTTATTGGCATTCGCAAGTGATAATCGGATGGGAAGGCTGTGCAGAAAAAGGTTACATAGTCACATAAAATTCGCGTCAATAACGCGCCATGGCCACGTGAGCATGTCACGGTCTCCTCATTTTTGACAGATAGCCTTGCTCTTTCTCCTAGGTCGCGTTCAAAAATATTTCTGGGCTGTCAGCTGGTGTCAATTTCACAAGGTAGAAAAAGTTTTCACCGATTCAAGATTGCGCGCAGATATAGATATCTCTTGGCTTCCACTAAGGATAACCTTGGGTATAGAGCGGATTCGATGGCGAATCCATAGATTTCTCTGGAGAAAACAAGGAGTAGTTCGGCAGGACAATCAACGAGCGAACGAACCGATCGCACTAATTGCTATCCCAACGTACATAAGAGGATTATTCTTTTACACACTCTGGCGAAAATTTTCATCAGTTCACCGGTGGCTCGGACAAAACGCGGAAGGAATCATATGAACGACTCACCGGGTCTTGCCAACGTGGTCGGGTGATATAGGTATCGGGCCTTAGTGCTAGTGAATGGGCGCGATGGTAAGTATAGACTCGCACCAGTTGAACTGGTTCTGAGCCAGGAAGTTCCTAATCGATAAGAGGAGGGGGAGGGGGAAGGAAGCTTAAAGGCGATTTCATGGAAATCGTGCTTCGACCCTGCATCGGTTCATGACGCATGGTATCACGGGTGAGAGATGCTATGTAGATAAGGCTCGAGATCAGAATGATATCATTGTACTTGTTGCTACCCTTTGATAAAGTTATAGTCAATTGTCACTGCCCGTTGTCGGTATGCAGAGGAAAATATATAAATCGGTGTGAGCTTGGCTATGTAGGAATGGCTCTGCATCTCTGGTAGTATATCGGTTAGTACACGCGCCTGTCACAGCGTGGACAGGGAGATATTGTTTCGCGCGAAAGCTGGGTTCGACTCCCAGCCAGAGAGTGGCTTCATGCAATGCACGCCTTTTTTGCAAAGGAGTTTCAGCTTCAAGCCCCAAGACTCACTGCTCAGTCCTGACTCCTCGGCACTCAAAACTTGAGACTACGACTTGAGTGTTTTGCTGCCTGCGGAAATGACAGAACAATTATGATATCTACTCAGATCCTAGTCGAATAACCCTGGGCTCTACCGAGTCCCAATGCCAGTGTCCATTAAGCTAGGTACTGACACTTTGATTCCGCGGCCCTGTACCTGAGTCTGGGTATGGGGAAAAAGAGATATTCCATGTCATGTAAAACTGGTACAATGCAGGTAGAAGACAGGTAGAACAGAGAAGGCCAAGGCCGCGTACGGCGTTTGTCGGTGGGGCCAGGGCGCGTCGAAATCATTTTGAGAAGATGCAATCTAATCGGTACGGTGATCCACGGACATTGTATTCGTGGTTACTATACAAGACAACATTATGTACTTGGAATTGAAACATGATATTGAATCACTAAACAAAAGATGATCAGTGAGGCTGGGGTTGGATGATGCGCCTTGTCTTGGTGCCATGGTGCAGCAGCACTAGCAGCAGGATAGAAATCGGAGGAGATAAACGATAAAAAAAAGCTGAGACCGACAATACACCCTCGAGGAGAACTTCGTGTATGGATTATTTCTTAAAATGTGCAAGTGAGAGGTGGAAGCGGAGAGTCGTCGGTGGAGGAACCGGTTCGGTTCGTGGCCGTGTTCGGGATCAGAGGATGCCCAATTCGGAGGTAACTCGCAGTTAACGCCGAGCCGCTCAGATACAAAAAGGGCCAATGCAGTGGGTGCCTCTTTTCCACAAGTCCCCAATCTTACGCACTTGTGGTATGGAATCCTGGGATTACTACCCTTCCCCGTCGTCGTCTTCCTCGTCGAGCTCGCCCTCTCCCATGTTCAAGACTGCCAATCCTGAGCCGTCCACCATCACCTGCCTCCCTACACACCAGGTCTTCGACTTTCCTCTACCTTCGCCGTCGCCTCCGCCGGCATCACTCTCCCAGATAGAGGAAACGACGGCGACAGATACGCCAGTATCGAATAAACGGATGTCGCCCTCACCTCATTCAGTGACCGCAAAGCGGCCCAGAGAGCGCATGACAACGAGGGACTTCGTCCCGCCGGACGTGTCCGGTCTCTCGAAACGAGAAGCACGGCTGGTGAAGAACAGGGCGGCAGCATTCCTTAGTCGACAACGGAAACGAGAAGAATTCGAGGCCATGGAAATGTGAGTAAATTTTTCATTATTCCTTTAGTACTAGGCAGGTAGCTGACAGGATGTATGCAGTCGGGTAGCCGAGCTCGAACTTGAAAACGCGCGTTTGCAGGCATTGGCAGGAGGTGCATCACCGCCGTCACCGTCACCGTCGATGTCGACCTCGTCCGAGATCGACGACCTGCGCGCCCAGCTCGCTGAGGCCCAGGCGCTTCTGCAATCGTCGCCCCAACCAGAAGCCATCAAGGCCGAACCCACTGAAACGCCGCTTCCCTCCTCATCTTCATCCAAGTCCGCCTTAATGGCCCTTCTATGCGCCCTGCCACTTCTGCAGTCGCTCCCTATCTCACCTTCTCCCGTTGCAACGACATCACCGTCGTCCACCGCCCTTGACGTCTCCTTCGACGCGCAGACGGTCCCGAATGGCGCCATTCGGGTCCGTATACACGACCCTCAGCCGTCCTCCCCTGCGCCTGCTTACCCGACGTACGACGATCCATTCTTTGGAATGGGCCTCGACATGGGATTCGAGAACGATTTTCTTTCCCCTGTCACGGTTCCGACGACAACGTCGGCTTCTCCATCCCGTCGCGTACGCATCGCTCTTCGGAGCACCGAACAAGCCGAGGGCGGCGAGTGGGAGGTCCAGCTGTGCTAACCTCCGAGTCCGACGGTATAGGTGTTTGAGCGCTCTCGCCGTTTTGCTACTAAATTTTATTTCTCCTTGTTAACGTTATGTCTGTACATGCCTCTCGCAAAAAGTAACATATTATGTCCATTGCTCTCTGTATATCTAGTACCATAGGATCCCAATCTAGTTTGTCTCTTTGTTTTGCATTCATTTTCAAACACGGACTATAGAAATCTCCTGTTTTTTTCTGCATCCATCAATGATCATTCCCACCCCTTCCCGGCCTTAAACATCGCCCTTTGCTGATTTGACCAAGGTCGAATTGTACTTGAGATATATTGCTTTGCGGCGTGTTACTTGACAATGAGAGAAGTCCATTCATACAAGTCTCGTCACAGGGACGATCCGGTCGTGCGTGCATGGCATGATGGCATACCGCACGCACGAGAGCCAACTTGGCAGCATTGGCAGTTTTCTGATGTCCCCACTGCTGAGTGGGAACTTCAACTCGGCAGCACGTTTTAATTGGTGGCTCTGATGGTCCCACTTGCGGTCGGTTCTGATATACAGATCTGTTCATCCGGCTATCCACTTATCTCACCACCGCAGCGCGTGAATCGGCCCGCTACAGGTCCCGACGCGCACGCGCCTGCAACAGACTGGCCTAGGAACCAGTTGCACGTTCACTACGGCAAAAATTTTCCCGAAGTTCGCTTTGGACTTGTGCAAATTCATCATCATATCATTTCGGGTTCCATTCGGCCTATTGATTGATGATATCATGCCCTCGCCGTCGAACTTCTGCTCTTACGGTATTCAAATATAACACCTGCACGGTCTTGGTTACAAGAAAATATCAAAGCGAGCTGTGGGTGGATCTTTCAATTGTCGGCCGTTAGGTCAGGTGCACGGGACGTCGGCTAGTCCTCCTGTGCCTCCCCTAGCTCCCCAGTTCAAATTGACCAAGGTACAATAGGCTCGGAGGAACTTGCAAGTGACGTCAGTCCGTACAAGTCCCATTGAGAATCCACCTCCCATCGCCGCCGAGGTTCTTCTCCTTGTCAGAACAATGTATATCCACCGACCGACCTTCCTTCTTTCCATTGTTCTGTGTCACATTGGCAGAGAAGAATGAAACAGATGCAAGTTCAACCCCAGCAGCGGCCGACCACCTGCTCGATACCCGACATCTTACCGATAGTCGCTGACATGAAACTGAAACTAACCGACACCCCGAGGACGACCCACGACTAAAGCGGGAACCAGAGTAAGAGATTGCAGGGACAAAGGGTGCAGAGTATCACAGAGTGAGAATAGACACTGAGAGTGAAGAGTGAGTTGGGGAGGGTGCCCCGCGGCCCTCACAACTTGGATTGAACAGATGAACAAGGCATCCAATCGCGCTTGACGTGAAAATCACAAGTCCCAACTTCCAGGCTCCCATCTCGATGAGGTCATACCGAACCAGCTCGTTTCGTCAAATACGTTAATTCGAACTGTCAATTGGAATTTGGAGCCGAGGGATGGCTTCAGTCGACGTCTAGAGACGAACGAAATGGGCAAAGTTGCAACGAAGAGAAGAGGATACAGTCCGCCACGGATTAGTGTCTTCGCAGCTTCGAACCCTTCTTGATGCGAGTACCTACTATAAACGCCCATATTTGCCTGTGTATTCCTTTCGGAGATGTGGTGATGTCGAGAATGCCATGGTATTGTGGCGATGAAATAGCGGTTCCTGAGATAAGATAAAACAGAGTGTACGCATGTCTTTGCGCGTCGGGAATGGACTGCGGGTAACAAGTGAATGTTATTCTGCGAGTAGGGCATGAGGTACCAAGAGGATAAGCTAAGCGGGAGAGCAGGGCCGTGGCATAAACTTGTGATGATAAGCGGATATTTGTTACGCATGGACCAACAGGCCGTACTCGAACCGGCGGGCCTTTGTCCAGCCCGTTATAATCGGATTTGATGATCCCCATAGCAGGTATCCATGCTTGAGATCTTGAAGGTTCAGTACCTAGAGGAGTAGCGCAGGCGGTGCAATTCAGCCTAGGCAGCGCCGCACAACGATGGCAGATGACGTTCTGTGCTGTAAGTATAAGCAATATTTTTACGAGCCCTTGGCGGAGGGACGTACGCGTCAGCTAAAACCGTCTCGAATTCCACATTTCATCTCTTTTACTTGCCGACCACACGTGCAGTGCATAAATGGGATAAGCAGCTGCCAGTGCGGAACAACGAAAATATAAGAGACAAGACTCGTAATAGAAGATCTGATAGAATCATCGAAGACGAACCCAAATGAGATGAAAGGCGGCACACCTTCAGAATGAGGGTGCATGTGTAAAAAGACTACCGCTTTCAACCCTCTACATTCTCTGTAGTTCAAGAAGCGATTTGAATACTGTTCTCTTTTGCGCTATGCGGACTTCCGCTAAAGAAACGAAAAGGAAAGCACTGCGCTTCGATGTACCCTCGAGATGTGCAAATCCACATGAGAATACTGACGAAGGTCTGATGACTGAAAGGCTATCACGGGAGCGCTGCAGTGATAATGTGTAGCGACATTCTTCCTCCATCCCAAGAACAAATAACAATGACACCGGTCTTACAGAGCCTATGAGTAAGATGATGGCGGTGGTACTGAATTGAAGGGCCCTAAAATTCCGGAAAATGATATAATGATGAGCCGTGGCTCAAGTGCGCACATGAAAAACATCTCGATGATGTGATGAAACCCGGAACGTTTGCATGCTTCAATCGCGCTGAGAACATGTGCCAAAGGGGTAGGTAACCTGCCGGTAGAGGGTCGACAACTCCTTAACACCGAGACCGATGAGACTTCAGGACAGAAGGGGATCTCCGATGTACACTAAGCCATGTATAAGAGACTAAATATTGGCTGAAATCAAAGACGACGTACCCTGCATTTCGAGACCCTCGTGACCTTCTTTCAACTCCCTTTCTCCCGCCACGATTATGAAATTGTAATGAGACGTTGTTCTTCAGAAATCTTGATGCATACTATGCACAAGTCATACCGATGTAATGATGTGACCGAGTACAGATCCAGGCGTCATGCTAGTAATACTGCATTTTCCTTAGAGTTCCATGGCACGGGTTGTCATA